CCTTAGAATAGACTGAGAAGGAGAACGAGTACAGTCCAGAACGAGGAGCTGTGAATATACCTGGAACAAATATGCATTTTTTTAAAATGAATGATGATAATCATAATACAAATATTGGTTGGGTAAACTGAGTTACACTGATGAACCAATATTTCTCGGGATTAATTGCTCGCTTACTTCTCTTTGAATCACTAAGCACCTAATCCTGCGACTCATCTGTGGTTAAAGTTGCTAATAATCCAGACATAAATCCAGCCATCACATGAATGAATATATATATACCACATGCACTTACCTAGGGTGGGGTTATAGCCCCTTCCATGGTTAAGGGTGACGACATCAAAAGGGATGGAGCTGTTTCTGGTGAAAGGTCCAAAGCAGTTTGTTGTAAAGCTCATGGAGGCTGTGAATGCAACCCTCATCCCTCCTGAGACAGAGACAAGCCAACAGGGAAGGAAAAACACATGTTGTTACTGTCAGATGTGTCTTCAACATTGTTCAAAATGAAATCTGAGAACTTCTCTTGCATAGCTCCAGACCTGTTAGTTACAATGCACATCTCAGATCTGTTCAAATAGGTCTGCTGTTGTGCCCATAAGTGGCTATTTAGAGAATCTGTTCACCAATCAGATCTCAGTAGGTGGGATTAAGATTGAGGACAATATTTTCCTTCTACATAAAACTACCTAGCTACATTTTTAGAGTCATAACTATGGCGACAAGTGTGGATGAAATCAAAGCAGGTCTACAAGTTTTCAGTTTAATTAAGTTCAGTTCAATTCAATAGAACTTTATTTATCCCTTAGAAAATTCCTGTGCCAGAGAATGCTTCAAATTACAGGAACACTAAGTGCAGTAACCACAATTTTAACAATTCACAACCAGTAACAACCAGATAACCAGTTGGCTCCCCGGGTCAGGGTCACTCATTGGGCCCAGTCTTAAAACAATGGAGTATTAAATATCTGACAGAATATACAAATATACAGGAAGTGTTTTCTAGGAGCAAAAGCAAAAACCAGTGCCTACTAGAGTAACAATAGGAGTATGATGTAAAAGAGTCACTAAAATGAACGAAAATAACAAAAAAACAGACTGCGCCTGTTAATCAATGTTATATTGAATCTGATATATTAATGAGAAGTAGTGTTGGGCATGACTGAGAAAAGAGACAAGACAATTCTAGCAGGCTGCCTTCCAAGATGGCACTTGAAACGGAAGAGGTCCTGTTTCTGTATTCTAAGTAAACTTAAAATACTACACCTGCAAAATGACCATCGGTATATGAGTTACTCACAGTGTGTGACCTTGAATTGATTAAGAAAACATTTTTGTCACATGCCTCCACGGTGAAAAGAGAATCAAAAAAAGTCAAAAAATTCTTTATGAATTTAAGTCATTAGGGACCACATTTATGAACAACAAAAAGCAAAACGTCCTTTTACATAATCTCACACAACTCCATGTCTCATGTATCCAGTCGTATGCTCAGAACTTCCTAAACACGTGCATTTTCACTAAAACTGTACAACATAAAACACTTCCACCTTTAAGTAGTGTGCCCTGAGCGTGGCTGAGCATGCATGTGCCTCTGAACTATGAGTTCAAACACACACACACACACACACACACACACATGTGCCAAGGCATGCAAAGCTGTTTTTAAAATGTAATGATGCAGTAAAAATGTACTGTATGTCTGTATACGACATAAGTAATGAGTCTTGGATTATACTGCACCAGTTGTGTGAGAGTTTGGAAATACATGTTTTGGTGTAGATCTGCTACTGTTCGCCTTTTGTGGGTTTTCTGTTCACCGTGGAGGCATGCTCGAAAAGTTTTTTTTTACAAAGTCAATGTAACATGCAATTTGTAAATGATTCTTTCATCTGTCTCCAAAATTCATATTGTGGACTGTTTTTACTAATGTCCATCATCCAAAGTACCTAAGAATTCAAGAAGGCTGCCACCCAGCTGGGCCACGCTCCTCGACAGGTCCATCACTCTCACCAACATTTGATCCTTCACTTCTTGGAGCTCACGGCTGGCACAGCAGCAGCCTCGCTGGTGCTTGAACACACACTCACAGTCCCATGTTCTGCATGGCAGCTCCCCATCCCATGCTTCTACAAATGTGGAAGAAAGGGGAGGAAAAGAGGTTATGAGTCTTGAAGTTAGCTGCTGTTTCCGTGATGTAATATGTGCAGACTCTTGCAATGATATTTCAAAGCAAAAACCAAATACTGAAATGGGACAAAATGTCAACATTTATTTTCTCTGAGTGGGATTGTCTCTTTCTTCCACTGTATCATTGGCACCAACATGCCTTGCTACCTCTCAGTTGTTTTTAACATGTGAGGTTGTCCTCAGAACATTAGCTGAAGGTAATTTAGTTTACCTGCTGCCACTCGTAGACTGTTGATAGTGACTTCACCACTCACGTTGTCACACAGCAGGCCCAAGACGAGCAGAGTGCACGCCACAGCTCTCATCTCACAACACAAGGGAATGTCTAAAGACAGAGCTTGTGAGAATGAACATTGCTGAAAGTACTTCTTCACAATTTTTAATTTTATTTTGGTAAATGTTATTGTTTATTTGTTATATAATAACACTGGATTTCAAAAATATCTTCATCAATCTTATTGTCAAGTAAAATGTTTCAATTAGCAGATATGTTTCTGTTCTTAATTGTTGAAGGAATTTAAATTTAGCAATGTTTTGCATTTTTAAGGCTTAAAAACAAATGTTTAAATGTTACAAGAACAGCCTGTATAAAGTGCCACACTAACAGCCTGTAACAGAATTGAGATGTAGCTCTGTATTTGCCTCATTTTAGTAACAAATGTCTTGACTCACTGCAGTCCAGCACAGAACGTCCTCTTCAGTGTATGTCCACGTAAAATCTTATATTCCAGCGTTAAAACCACCAGTTATCCTGATAAACACTCAAAAGGGTCTTTGGATCTTGCAGTAATACACACAATGATGGCTTGTAGCTTTAACTTCACTTTTATTTCCAAGTGGGTGGAGAGATCTCTGTGTCCACTGTCCAGTCAGCTGGCAGCCCACTGGTCTTTTCCCTAATTCATTCATTTCCCTCCCATTGGCATTTTCAACCCCGTGCTCCACGGGCTAGGTGTGACCTGTGAGGGCAGGTTTCAGCAGGGATCATCGTGATAAGCTCCCTAGTGTATATCAAAATCTCCTAAAGATTGTATCTTACAGGGCCTGTGTGTGTGTAAGTTGGTTATGAGGTCAGAGGTGTCAGGTTGGCTGATAGGATCGCTCAGTTTGTTGTCTGTGATAAGCTGGCTGCTTTATCCCTCTGCACCTACTGGAAACAGATGACACCCGATCAAGGAAGGTCCTAGTTTACTTAAGGCTAATGTTTCTGATGATGTATGTGAGTCTTTCTGTCTAACTGCAGGGAAATGGTTTGAAATGGAAAATGTTGAATTGAATATTGACACTAGTATTATATAAACAAGTCTTTAAAGACATGTTCTAGGTTATAGGAACTAAATGATTTATTGCATCCTCTATCATACTTACAATTAAGGCATTACACTTTTGTGGTAATGATCCACCTGTCACACTGCAGGTGTAGAGGGTAAAACCTTTACCTAGGCCTAAAAGATTCCACAATGAAACGTCCCCAAGTGATTACCTACTGAACAACAATTATTTTTTGTATACAAGTTTTCAGAATTTTAGATATCTCTTTTTATAACTATAAATTTAAAAAACAGCCATTTAAAAAAAAATATTTTAACTATGCTTTTGGTGATACAATATCTTATAAAGCAGGCTATGAATGATATATGAATAAAATCTCTCTATAAAAACCTTCAGAATATAGACAGGAATAAAATTGGAAAGTTTGGTGAACGTACGTGCTACTGAAGTGGAGATTTCTGGCTCAGAGAATGAGATAAAACTCGTTTTAAGAAAATGGCCTTTACAGATACGTTTTGTAATAGTCCATACATTTTTAGAGAAAAAAAATAAAACACTACAGGGTAAACATTTTAACTAATAGATATCACCATAAAAACTTCCCCAGCTGATTACTTACGTTGAGACACAGACTTATGAAGTCTTCTGAAATGATATGTTTTTTTTAATTTAAAAATGCACGTTTTCCATCCACTTCCAGAACAGAAGTCTGAACAAAATAAACACCTAAAAGGGTATTTTGTACGTTTTCTTTCACTAGTCTTAAAGAAGACATGTTATGGAAGCAAAATGGCCCAAAATCTCAAAGCTGCCCAGTGCCTGAATAAACCATGTTTTTGCCTGTAGTGTCTCCACTTTAGAGGGTTTGATCTTTAGAGGGTTTGATTTGTGCTTTTACATAAGAATAGTACAAAAAAATATCTTTGTTCTCAAAGTATTCAGATTATAACCCTTCACAAAATGATTTATTTTCTTATATTTGAACTACATTGTGGTGTTGGTTTGTCTGTCTTGTCTGCTGTAAAAGTAAAATACCTTCTTATTCTAGGTGTCCCCGAACAATGTTTAAAGCTACTATAATCATTCTGTACTACAGTACTTAAATCATCATATTTCTTTATGGTGCCATAACAGTGACTTGGATTACGACATGTAGTCTGAAAGATTCTGCTTAGTGATGAACCCACATGGATTTTTTAGCATTTTTTTTGTTTTGGATTTACAGACCAAATTTTCACTCTCTCACTGAGAAGCCAGCTGTACACTACTTGTCCGCCCCCAAAATGACAGGGTTAACAGTTAGCTGGTGGACAGAGTGGAGCATTTTGCTGCTAAAGAGTAAGACACCTGGTAAAGAGTGAATACTGAACTTATCAGGTGGCCTTGAGCACGACTCCAAATGCAGGATAGTGTTTTTGGGTGATATGAAGTCAGTGTTGTCTACAGCTTGTTGTGGTCTAAACAGCAGTTCATGCAGGGTTAAATTTAAAGAATGAGGAAAAAGTTTCAACCCAGAAAACACAATGATTACTCCACAAAAATTCTATTATATTGCAGTCGTTTATTGATTTATTTCTTCATTATCTTTTGAAATATCAGAGATTATAGTGAGTCATGAGTGTAGAATATAGGCTATTATGGAATTCAATGGCATGATCCACACAAAGGTGATGCTTATCTGCTCAGGCCTATAGTGTGAGATACAGAGGAGGTAAGCTATCTTTAAACATACGATGAGCATTGTTAAAGTTGGTCCTATGAATCCCCCATAAATGCCATCAGTGTCACATTACAAGGAGGGTCCAGGTAGGAGGATGAGTGTACGCTGAGTGTTTATTGTTCTTCAAGGGCCCTTTATGTTGGGAAATTGTATCCCAGCTATTTCTGGAAATCAGCAGGTTGGAGGCAAGGGTTACTGGCTATAATCTCCATTGCTTTAAACAGTTACTCACTGACAACTTATGCCTGAGAAATAGTTTTCTTTCATTTTCTGATATGTAAATTCACTCCTTTTTTTGTTTGTTCTAAGTTTTTAATGTCGCCTATTCTACCCCCCAAAAAAAGACTAGACAGACTATTACAACCTTAGGATTACAACCTTTGGATAGCTGTTCTATTTTGTGACAAAATTTACCGATTCAGTCTTGTTTTTTCGGATGAAAAAAAATGCAGTAACTACAAAATCCATTCAAAACCCCGAGGTAAACCACAGTAAATGCAGTCGCTGTGTCCTTCCTTTGGTTCCAGGAGATCTGAGATTCTATCGGGCCAAGGAAAACCGCAGTGATCCTTTTACAGTCAAAAAATGTCAAAGTCATTTTTCTTAGTGTCAGTTTTAGCATTGTTACTGCAGTTAGTCTTTGTAGGGCAGTAATACATGAGCTCAGTGAAGATTGTTGTAAGTTAAAGAGATATATATTAAGGGTAGCATGGCTGCAACAGACAAGTATGTACAATATGTATCATAAAAAAAGAGGAATAAAGATGTATGTTGCACTGTAGCTCCATCATTACAGAATAATTCTGTTCTTCACGGTTTGTCAATAAATATAGAATTAATTTCATGATATGAATAAACTTCATGAGAATAATAATGGGCACTGATTGGTCATGTAGCAAAAGGCACTGAACTATAAAGTGATAAGTTTAGCAAGTGTGACCACGAACACGGTGTCATTTATTTGAAACCCACTAAAGTACCATCCATTGCATCAAGATAAGTGAAAACAGCAGCACAATACTGAATATCGAAGCATTCGCGCTAGCAGCTATACTATACTAAGGCACAGTGTTAGTGCAAAGCAGAGTTAGCGTCTATAAAGCATGCTTGTCTGCAAGTACAGTTTCATGTTTTGGTCCCTTTTAAAATCACTGAAAATATAAAGAGCAATCAGTCGTTCATGCTATGACCCATTGATAATTTCTGTACTAACTGCACCGAGGCATTTTCATTGTCTTTGGGTTGTTGTCAGGAAATTGTTTCTTTAAGTTGCTCATCCTGGTTGTCAATTATAAAAACCTTGGAACTCCAATTATATGTTTTTTCCCTTTTTTCCATGGCTCCAATTAGTGTTTCTAATGCTAGGCCCACGAGACATTATGCAGAACATTAGTTTTGTCTTGAAAAATATAGTAGCCAATTTAATCATGTTGCTTTTTAACACGCTTAATTTAAGTTACTAAAACAAAGTTTCATACTCTGTCAGAATTATGCTTCTTTTACTTTTTGGTCATAAGTGCCGCTGCCCTTGTAAGCTCCCACGTAGCCACTGTTGTCGGGGATGTCCTCGCGTCCGGCCTTTCCTTTTCCTTTGCCTGACTCGTCGAACCGCTCCTTGTGCGCTCCGGTGTATTTGGTGGTATCGGTCAGTCTGTCCACTGCTGCTGCCTTCGCTACTTTCTGAAAACAACAGAAGATTTAAAAAAGCAGTAATTTCACTCCCTCAGGTAATGACACAAACACACACACACACACACACACACACACACACACATCCCTGTATCCCATCTGCTACCCTTGCTTTCTCATAAATTCTGTTCAACTCAACTGTTTATTTCTTCCAGCACTTCCATAAATAATCCCAGTAACAGAGCTGGACTGCACTGGATTTGAAATTTCTTTGGCACCATCCAGTGGTATAATCAAGAAAGACACTGGCAGACAATAACGCACATTTTGGCTATGGCATATTGACCAGATTTGACCAATAAAACTAACAGATATGTGAACATATTGTTATGAATCCCAGTGAAAGAGAGATCTGGGTTTTTACTCCAACGTCAACTGACCATAAACATATTAAACCACAACAAAAACTTAGTTTGTTAAGGCATGTTGTGTGCCTTAGAGTGGTGAAAGGTGAGTATGTTGAGGTTATAACTGATAAATAAAATACTCACAGTGATTCCGACGTTGGCAGGCTCCTTACCAACAATGAGACCATAGAGCTGCTGAAGCGACTCGTCTTTGCTTTTGCCTTTGAATCGTTTGGGAGCCAACTCTGTCAGGGCCTGGCTGAACTGCTCAAATGTGATTACACGAGCCGACTTTGCCCTGAGGAAACACACAGTGTTGGCAAATGTTTTCTGAGGAAAATAACAAAATTATTTGAATAATGCCCTGCACCTATTTGCATATTGATACAGGAGGGGGCTACGGTGGGTATAACAGTGTGATTAGACACTTTTATTATTAAAGTATGGAGTTTGCATGTTCTCCCCATGTCATTGTGGGTTTTCTCCAGGTACTCCGGCTTCCTCCCACAGTCCAAAGACATGCAGGTTAGGTCAATTGGTGACTTTAAATTGCCTGTTGGTGTGAACGTGAGCATGAATGGTTGTCTGTCTCTATGTGTCAGCCCTGTAATAGTCTGGTGACCTGTCCAGGGTGTATCCTGCCTCTCGCCCAATGTCAGCTGGGATAGGCTCCAGCCCCCCGTGATCCCCAACAGAATAAGCGGTTACGGACAATAAATGAATGTTTACAGACAGAGGTATGAATACATTTTTGAATCTGCAGCGAGGAACCTTAAATCTCCTACCAGAGGGCAGCAGCTCATACTCTATATGCAGAGCATGAGAGGAGTCATTGATGATCTTATTGGCTATACTTAGAGTAGCCTGTTCAAATATAGACTGCATGGGAATTTGCTATTTGACATCTATTATTTTCCACGCAGTATGGATCAATCAAACACTTAGGCAGCAGCACAAGGTCACCAGGGTTGCAGCAGAGCAGCACCACCAGAAGTTGCTCATAAACCAAGGTTTAAGTTTGCAGACATTCATCTTTCCAAGAGGATCAATCCTAAGGCCTTTACAAACCCTGACCTCTCCACTGCACAACCATACATACTTACAATGGCGACCCCCTTATCTTTCATCTAGCATCTAGCACCATGCATTGGTTTATGACCAAAACCTACAAAACATGACTTTGCCATCAGCCTCAGCTGTACGCGTGCTAAGATTAGCATTGATGAATTTTTAATGACCCTATAATGTTTACTGTCGTCATGGTTTTGTGCCGTTGATATTGACGTCTGCCTTTCATGGCTGTTTGTTATGACAGGGTTGTTGGGTTGTTGAATGTTTTAGCTGCGGGAGGTTGAGTGAAATCTTACTTGACTTTGCTGAAAACAATGTCAACATCTGTAGTGGTGACGTTCTTGCCGTCGATGATGTTGCAGTCCTTGCAGAGCTTAGCGAAGTTCTTGCCGTTCATCTCCTTCCCTGTGGCTTTAGTGTCGCCATGGACTGCAAACTTCTGGAAGGAGGTCTCCACCTCTGCCAGAGACACTGAGCCCTCAGCCATACTAATGGATACACACACAGTATACACACATCATCAAACTGATAATGTTCAACATGTCAGATTAATTGTCGACAATGGTTGCATTGCCCTTCAACGATGTCCTCACTTTGGCTGATGTTCATTTACTTTCTATTCTTATAAGGACATTTTGTGAAATTAAAGAACACATATCCATAATGACTCTATTAGCTGATTGATCGCCGGGCCTGCCAAGAAATGGGCTGCCATCAGTCAGTCTAAGTGAACTCTCTTGCTCCCCCCGCCTCCCACACACACACACACAGATACACATTTTCACATCCATCATTATATTCTTGTTACTCAAGCTGCTCTCGGGCCAATTTAATTCAATCAGGTCAATTTCCAAATGGCTGCTCTGCTGTTCGATCTACAGTGAATGAGCAAACATGCTCCTTCTCTCTCTTCTTCTCCCTCTCTACTCAATCTCTCTCTCTAACACTCACAAACACACACTGACACACACTCGACCATAACTTGTTACTGCGGAAAAAAAAGGTGAGGATGTATATTCAGTAGGAAAAAGTAGAATTTTTAATAATAAAAAAAATTGTTCAAAGAAAATTATTTCATAATTATTTCATAATGTATTTCTTTTTCATAGCAGAAAAAAAGAGCATCTAAATACACTTGTTAAGCTTGTATTGAATTTTACAGTCTTTGGCCGGACACTTTATTGGTGGGCAGGTGGATAACAATAAAAACAGCTGCCAAATGTTGCCAAGCACTAAACCAAAACATAAAGCATGTACATAAATCACACTGCAGATTCAGCGATGCAGCTCTGCATGGCTACATGCACTTTGCAATATGAGGTTGAATCATTTTTTAAAATCTGACATCAACGTGTTGTTGCATCTAAAAATGACCACATAAATATTACAGATTGTCTGTTGTTAGTGGAACATGAAATGAGACATGTAGTTATGGCAGTCCGAAGACTTGTTTTCTGCTGCTGTCTCCATCGCCCCTCTGTTGTATTACAGTGCTAGTGCAAGAAACGGTGATGCTGAAAAAGAGAGAGTAAAGTGTACCTGCTGCCGTAAATGGAAGGATGCTGTGTAAATACTCAGGGAAATCCTGATTCTCGTACAGCTGCTTGACCTCTTCGTCTTTCTCCTCTGCCTCTCCTCCTTCCTGCCACTCCCAGGCTTTCTCACAATGACGACAGAGATGGAGAGATACAGAGAGGCAGGAGGAGAGAGGGAAGAGGGAGGGAGGAGGGAGAGAGTACCGACCAGCACAGTCAATGACATCATAGGCACTCAGCCTCTCTTGTGTCTATTCACTCTCATTAGCTCCTCGCCTCTGTGCACACAGTTGCTCCCTCTGTGGAAAGATTTGCCATGGTGTTTATTTCAATGCAGTAGTCTATTTATGTGTGTTACATTTCTTCTGCCTTTTGTAATCCATGTTTTGAGGCAGGTGCAACATCAATAAAGATTAGTTTTCTCTCCATTCTCCCCTCTATAACACTGAACTCAACTCACAGCTATCTGCTCTTCATTGCACACCCACCCTCTTGCCCTGTCTGTTTTTTTCTCCTCTTACTGTCATTGTCACAAGAGTCCTGTTGTCTGGACAAAGATGAGAGCGGCCCTTCAAAGCACAAAGCACCATGACAGCTGACACATTACAGGAAAGATTATCCCATCTCACAGCTTCATTTCAATCAAACTGAATATCACCAGGAAAACGGAGCAGGCCTCTTTACACACTGATGAGAGTGGGATCACTCAAACAATAGATTTAGTACATTATTATACTACAACTGTTATGCTAAACGGTATTCTGTCATTATTTTAAAATATAGTATGTGTTTTCACCCTGACTCAATCCTACTCAATAACATATTATTCATACTTACATTGGGGGAAAGTAAGTAACATAGAGTGATTTTGAAAGTGTATTTCAAAAAGTAGCAAAAGGACTCCCGCACACTGTCCAACTTGCAATACATCATTTATTTGCAACGTTTCGGTACTAGACCTTCATCAGGCAAACAGTTTTTTGTTCATGAGAAGCCATCTTAAATAGGGAGTGGTCGTTTCTCCACGACCAATCCCATTCCCACGCGTAAACACAGAGGGACAAACAGACAGACAACAGTGTGCGGGAGTCCTTTTGCTACTTTTTGGTCTTTTTTCTCCAACGCACCTGTCTTGTTTTATAGATGTGCGAAGTGCTTCCTTTGTTCGAAAGTGTATTTCAAAAAGAAATGTTCCTTTCCACCACATTGTTATGGTCACAATAGTAGTTTTGTAAACAGACATCGTTCAGTGTACTTTTTTTTATGTCTCAGTGTACTTAATGAAATTTTGGCACTACACAATTGTAAATTCCCTAGGCAAAATATTTTAAGTATTTTTGCATTTTTTTCTTACCTTCTGTCTGAGTATCAGTCTGCACTTGTGATAGTGTTCAGGCTCAGCTACCAGTGATGAATTTGTCACTTTTTTCTTTGCGCAGTTCCTTTACAACAGTGGTTCCCAACTGTTGGGTCACAGTCCCAAAGTAGGTGGCGGGTCCACTCTGAATGGACCACAAGTGACTCACAAATGCACACACTTTATTTCTTAGTTATTTGCAGCACAGAGCTTTTATTTTGAAGTGCCATTTCCTGCTCGAGATTGATAGACTAATGGACAGCTACTTGAAAGAGACAGCAAACTAGCTAAACAACATGGCCAAATGCAAGTATGACACTGAATATATTAAATTGTGTGGACCTTGAACTAATGACTAAGGATAAATCTGGACCCTGAGGCTGGACCAGTTAGGAACCACAGCTTTAGAAAGTTAATGGCTACTGGAAGTTATTGAATGTAAATGATCTTTGGACACAAGGACTAATTAGTTGTACCTGAAAAGAATGAAGCCATATGAGAGTTTAGTTCATTTAAAGTGTTAGGTTCACAGGAATAAGCATGTCCTTGAGCAGCTGATACACTCCCCTGCCTCATGCTTTTGATTGTAATTACTATTTCTTAAAAGGTTAGAGCAACTGTTTTACAACTTCAGTGTTTAAAACAGATTATTTGTTGAATGACTGAAAATTAGAAGAAACTTGAATTAATATAACTGGGATGAGCTAAAATAATCAATCACACCCTTAGGATGAAACCATTGGAGGTAAAACCAGGCAGAACCTAAATAATATGTATTAAGCATCAAAACTGTAATCACTGATTTCAACAGCAGGTCTAACCCTAACCTGACTTCTTCTTTCTTTCCCTGTATTTATCATATTGCCTATGCCAGCAGCTGGCTTTGAGTCAGTGTAAAAAAAGCTCAGACTATATTCATTTTCATGAAACCACAGTATTTCCAAAGCCATTTATATTCTAATTGCCACTGGTTTCCATGCAAATTTGTCCCATTGAGACATTTCTTGTCCACACTGTCATAGGCATAAGTTATTTAATTCAAAAATTTGAAGCAGATAAAAACAAGGTATTTTTCCATTCATTGGTCATAAAATATAGACTTGTTACTCCTGGGTTTACTGAAATCATTGACAAACATTTTGTGGTAAAAGCATAAAAAAAATATTATTTACTAAGATTATGTTGTTCAGTAGTCTTAGTCTGTGTAATGGACAGTCAGTGAAGTTTTAATATGTAACAACAGATTATGCCTTTAAATAAATCCAAAATGAGAGAAAAGTATTGGTTGTTTCAGCACATGTGATACTGCATTTGTTTTTCAGGATGTCAGTGTGCTCCAGTGGGTACCCACATACTGATGCTCATGTTCTGTGTTTTGTTCACAAGACAAACAGAGCAAGTTGTTTTGGCATCATGCACCATCATGAAACTCACTGCTCAGTCATTCATGGAAAGCCAAAGGGTGTGAAGGACCAAGTGTCCCCTCATTAGAAATACTAACGAGTACAGTGAATTCCTCACTAATGAAGAATGCTGGTTTTAGGGGGAAGTCTAAGTAAATCAGTAGTGGACAGTAACACTAATGCCTGAGGAAATAACTGACTGGTTTCTGAGTGTTGTGATTTCACAATGTGCTGACATCGGGTGTTACGACAAACCCTATTTTGTAAATATCAAGAAAAAGTTCATGCCTAAACAGATCACAGTGTCATGGTATCAACTCATTATCACCAATGATAGCAGGTGATCATGCTTCGTTCCATGAGATTTAATCATTCATGCTCTGGATGGCTTATATTCAGTGGCAGTCCTAGACCCTGAGGAACCCCAGGAAAAGAAGCCCATTGTAGCCCTGTCCTAACTGAGGATATCAAGCTATCATATGGTAGCGAGAAAGGACTTCACTTAAGGTGTTTTGGTGGCAGCAACCACCATATAGTGCCTTAAAGGGGGATTGAAGGGGCCTTACAGTTGCCATGGGGGGCCTCTCTTCCAAATCATCTTGGAGAGCCCCAAACATTTGCCTGGTTTGCCTCTCCTGACCGTGTGCCTCTGCTTATGTTAGTTTTTATTTTTGCTGACAACTTAACTTTACTGTGAGTTCACTTAAAATTCCTGCTTGTTGTGCAGATTCCTTCATGGTATCAGTTTGTTTCTTTTAAATGCTGTGAAAAGGGTTCTGTGGGAAGACACTGTGTTTACAGTAAACACACCGCCTTCCCTTTAAATATCACCAGAGATTAGCTTTGCCTCTGGTTTGACAAGGAGTTGTAGGATCACAGGAGCGTATTTTGGACTCTCTCTCTGGACCACAGCAGAACTTGACTCACCATCACTTTGCAGACTTATTCATATCTTAATAGAGTGGGGTTTCACCCAGGACACAAATTCTGATCCTGAGTTGGTCCCATATTTGTCTCTTCCAGCATCATCATGGCGGAGTCTAGTTTCCCTCTACCACCAGACGATTACTGTCCTCTGTGTGTGGACGCACTGAGAGACCCAGTCACGATCCCCTGCGGTGACACCTACTGCCTGGAGTGCATCAAAATCTACTGGGACCAGTTTGACCACATGGGTGTGTACAGCTGCCCACAGTGCCGCGCAACCTTCACACCACGGCCCGTGCTGAGACGCAATCTGCCAGACGTGCACCACGAACCACGGCGCCAGCTCCCGGAGCTCACTCCGTTCCCCTACATGCACAGGGAATCCTTCTGCGATTTCTGCGTTGGCCGTCGCAACAAGGCCGTTAAGTCGTGCCTCATGTGCCTGGCCTACTACTGCGAAACACACGTCAAGCCACATTATGAGTCGTCCACCTTCAAGAGACACAAGCTGGTGGATGAGACGGGCCACCTGGACAGGAAGATCTGCCCCCAGCATGAGAAGGGCCTGGAGCTGTTCTGTCGCTCCGACCAGATGTGTATCTGCGTGCTTTGTACTGTCAGAGAGCACCGCGGCCACAACATTACCTCAGCAGAAGAAGAGCGCATCGAGAAACAAGTGAGTCTGAATTGGTTGTGAGTCTATATGTGACCCTGTCTGTGTTTTGTTCTCTTATGTGACTGTGACTGACAAAAACCTGTCCTCTTATTGTCATGTTCTTCCAACAGAAAGTCTTGGTGGTCACCCAATCTGAAGTCCAGCACATCATTCAGGAGAGGATGAAGGAGCTGCAGGAGCTCAAACATAATGTCGATGTTCTCAAAGTAAGATCAGCTGTTGCCTAACCAAACATCAGTAATTACATCTGTAAAAATTTATGACGCAATGTGACATTGTGTATTTGGGAGGCAAGAAAATATGACCCAAAATATTTTACAAAAATGTTCATCTTAAAGGGATAGTTCAGATATTTTTGAGGTGGGGTTATATGAAGTATTTGTCCATATTCCACGTATTTCCTAGATGGTGTAGTACCGCCATGAAAATTGCAATGTACTGCCATGGATGGAGGGAAGCAGCAAACTGTATTTTAGCCACCTTAGAAAAATTCAATGTCAGTTTAAGTGTACACCATATCTAGAATATTTTCACCACTTTACCTTGCCATCAGACAGCCCTTCCTGACAGGGAACTGAAGCTGTTCCCCTCTTCAAAGCTACCAGACTCCCTTTACAAAAACAGCAAAATTACTTTGCAGAACACAGGAGTTGTTGGTCTACCCCTGCCTCAATCATTTAGTTTATTTGTGTCACAGTGTGACTTTGGTGAATCTGAACCAACCCTTTGAAACACCAAAGCCATACGATAATATAAACAAACTAGCTAATCAAGGCAGTGATAGAGCAGCAACTCTGCAAGTAAAATTACTGTTTTTGTCAATGAAGTCTGGCTTTGACCACTTTAGTTCTCCCTGGAGATGACTGTCTATTCAAAATAGAGTATACACTTAAACTGATATCAATTTTTTTTTTAGGTAATTCTTGTTTTAGATGGCTCAAATACAATGTGCTGCTCCCCCCATCCCTAATCCATTGCTTAGCTTCCGTGGCAGTACTCTTGCCTGCTTCTCCAAACTGGGGCAGACAGTGTTATCCACTGAAGGAAATACACTGACTATGGAAAAGAACCTTGTAGAGCCCCACTTCAAAAAATCTTAACTATCCCTTTTAGTACAGTATGTAGAGATTTTTTTAAATGGCATCGTCTGATGGTGGTATTAAATATCAAACCCCACCCTGTCCTAAAACCTCTCGACAAACTGGTCTTCCCTTTTAGAGTGCTGCCCAGCGAGCACAGGCAGAAAGTGATAAGACCTTCCATGAAATGCTGCAGGCGGTGGAGCGCTGGAAGGCTGAAATCCATCAGATGATAACGGCCAACATGCAGGCAGCAATGTCACAGGCTGAGGGCTATGTGGACCGTCTGGAGCAGGAGATACTGGAGCTACAGCGCAGAGATGCAGAGCTACGACAGATCCTCGAAACAGAGGACAACATTCACTTTCTGCAGGTGCTTTAAGATCATACAGGGCTGCAAGAAATGATAGCATTTATGTCTTAGTTCTTGTTACATAATGTGACACTGATGGAATGCCACATTTACTACACTCACTGGTGTTTAGGACAGTTTGCAGTAAAGTTTGACTTGACTTTAAACTGCGGTCAGAGATGTTTACACATCAGACACTAGAATCTGGGAGTTGCATAACTCTCAAAGTTATCTTTTGTTAGTTACACATGACCAGACAGTTTTATTGTATCTAACATAAAAATACTGCTTAGGTTAGAGTCCCATAGATAAATCATCGATGCTTTTTTTTCTACTTTCTGTCCAAGAACTTTCTTTCTTCACTTTTACGTTTGTGGTTCTGACTTGTTGACTGGATTATGGAGCTCCTACTTCTTGTCATATAGAATTTTCCAACCCTGTGCGTCCCTCCTGAGGCCATGGTGCCCAAAGTTCTCATCAACCCTCAGTTCTCCTTTGGAGAGATGAGCAAGACAGCCACCGAGATGAAGGAACATTTGGATGACATCTGTAAGAATGAACTGAGCAAAATCTCCAAGACAGGTTTGAACCTCGTAGATATTATTAACAAAATATCATTATACTGTGAAAGCTATAAAGTGGGCCAGTGACAGGTTAACGTACTGCTGTATCATCTTCACAGTCAGTGAAACCCCTGTGTACATACTTCTGCCAAGAAATGGAGACAAACGCCTAAAAGGTAAGCGTCTGTTTACTGAAATATGTATATAAGATTATATAGATTTTATTTTAGGGTAGAGATCAAGGGAGATGTAGATTAGATATCTGATTAGATGTATGTATTGTTGTAGTTCACTTTGGATTTATTAAAAAATAAACTATGATAAAATGTATTAGAATATAACACATGTCCCTGTTTTCATATCTAAACAGTTCCTTCCAGAGTTGATTTTCAGGAGCCAAAGTCCAGGACAGACTTCCTAAGATGTGAGTAAAGTGTTTAAAATGCAGCCTTTTCAGTGCCCATCACTGTTGTCACAAACAAAACTGTGACTTGTGTTTTCTTGACAAAAGTAAAAACAAAAAACATTTTATATTTATTCATTTTGCATTCTCAGATATTTAGTTGTTGTGGATGAAAAACAGACAGAGTGAGAAATGTGTGTTGTCTTTGCTCAGACTCCTGCAAGATGTCCTTCGATCCAAACACAGTCTACAAAGAGCTGGTCCTGTCAGACGGAAACCAGAGGGTCACACGGAAGAAATCAGTCCAGTTTTACCCAGATCATCCAGAGCGCTTCGATGGCTTCTCCCAGGTGCTGTGCAAAGAGCCTCTGACTGGTTTCAGATTTTACTGGGAGGCAGAGTGGAGCGGGGAGTTTTCCATCGGGGTGGCCTATAAGAGTATCAGTCGCAAGGGGAAGAATTCGCACAGCCTTCTGGGCTATAATGACAAGTCTTGGAGTCTCCTCTGCTCAGACTCAGGCTACTCTGCCTGGCACAACAAAATAGACAAAGACCTTCCTGAAGCGCGCAGGGCCACGCGTATTGGTGTGTACCTGGATTATGCAGGAAACACTGTGGCCTTTTACTCCATATCAGAGACTATGGATCTTATCCACAGATTCAAAGCTCAGTTCAGTGAGCCCTTGTATGCTGGTTTTGGTGTGGGCTCCTCTGTTACCCTCTGCCAGCTGAAGCAGAATCCCACACCTTACTAAGGGTGCTTTCAGACCTAGAGTTGTTTGCTTTGGTCCGAATCGGGGACTTATTTTGTTACACAACTCTAGGCATAATTGCCTAGAGTTGGTTCGTGTTCTCACCGCAGCATTTACTAGTGGACCAGCTCAAATCCCTTGCGCGAGAAAGCTGCTCTTGATTGGTTAGAATTTCCATGCAAGAAAAATTCAGGAAGTAAACAAAACATTGAAAAAGAGTAGACTTGCAAGAAAATGTGGCGCTTTCTAATGGAGGGTCAGCTACGCAGGTTGATTTTAGCACTGCTCATCTTGTATTATATTGCTTGCATTGTTCATTTTAGCCAAACCATACAGTTTGAAAACGAGGCGTGGGTCCAACTAGAAAACAATGTTTTGATGCATTGGATGTGCTGAATGTGCATATTAAAGCAGTACAGGAGGAGGTGCACATTAATAATCCTTCAGGACTGTAACATGCTCATGCTTGTTGAACCCAAACAATGTGTAATGTGGCTGCAGTTGGTTCAGATCAAGGTTGGAACACATTCTCACCACAAATGAACCGCACCAGAGTTCGTTTGTAACTGGACTGAGACCACCTCTTCAGGAAGGTTTTGGTCCACTTGTTTTGTTGCACACCTGAGTGTGATTGCTGTGTTCACACCTGCCCAAATGAATCGCACTTAGGGGGCAAACGAGCTTGAGTTCTATTGAACTGAACCAAACAAGGCAGGTGTCAAAGCACCCTAACTGACAGGGACGCTGTGGGGAGTCCATTGTGAAAGGTATAGAACTCATAGTGCAGAGTTATTTTCTGTAAAAATACATTTTTAAATCATTCTCATTTATTGTTGTTGTATCCACACTCTATATGTTCCTGTAATATATAGTGATAGTGATCTCATTGAATATAAGTTCCTGTTTCCTGTTCGGAGAAATATATGTTGATTTAATACAGACATGGCATGTAATGCAATCCCCTAATGCTAATAACCTATATTCAGCTGTGTTGTTTCAATGAGCATTAACATTGTGAGGCTGCATTCATCTGCAGATCGCTGACTAAAATATTGTGTTTGTATGTACAGTAAAAACAAAAATGTGATTTTCATAACTATGTTTTCCTCAGTGTATAATCACCTGTCAATAAGGAAAGCTGAGCCACTGAGCCAGCCATATTGTTCTACAGTAGCCCAGAATGGACAAATCAAATGCTGCCTCTAAATAGGACCATTTGCATTTTCTCCCACGTGCTTGGCACATGGGAGAAGTTTCAGTTTTGCAGCCTCACCACTAGATGTCACTAAATTGTACATACTGGACCTTTAAGTGTTCATATTTATACAAATATTCTAAAAAAGTCATTGGATGTAGTCATTCTAATGACTGCATTTGTAAATAATTTAACCTTGTTTAGTGACTCTCTTACATTTATCCTGATGATAAACACTAATCAACACTGGGCACTGAACTTATTCTTGTTGATGATGTATAAAACAGTAATGCACAGATTGTCAATATCAAAGTGTAGAAGTCATAATTTGTCAATAAATAACAAACAATGGAAAACACAAACACACAACTGTATTATTTGAAACACAAAACTGTCATTAACATAACAGTCTTATTCTTTACTACTTTATTTCATATTATAAAAAGCCTAAAAAGTTCATCTGTAAAAGAGCATTCATTCTGCACCAGCATTATGTACTTTCTGAAGTTAAGAATCTGAAATAAAATATCATAGGCTTTTTGATGTTGTTGCTTTTTTTTTAATTTTATTTTTTTTCCATTTTTCAAAACCTACTTAACTGACCATGACTTTATATATGAAATGAGTTAAAAGGACTGTTTAATCAACTTTTTCTACTAATAATATTCTAACAGCATAAAATATAATTTCTCCTACCTGGATATTGTTAATCCTCAATCACTTCTCTGACCCTTCAGCATCACCATATTCTTTACATGTTTATACACTTAACATGAACACACTGAACACACTCTCTAAATAGGCATGTTGCACCCTTAACATTGTTCATGACCTTCAGCAAACTGCTCCATCAATTTTAACAACCGAACAAGCTTCAAAATGATCAAGTGTCATCACATGCAGAATCAAAATCCAGTTTAGTGCAAAGTAGGTTTTCACATACAAGGCATTTGCTTAGGTGTTCTGATGCATACACAAGACACATAAAAAATAGAAGACAAAAAAATATCTAACTGGTGGACTCTTGTGTTGTCTGTGATGTGTTGATATGAAGAGGCCTAAACTATGACAGCAAGAGGTTAACTTAATCCTCCTTAATTACTACCATATAACTCCAGCCCCTCTCCCATGAAGTACAACAGAAAAAGGGCTGCCATATTGCATCCAATTCAGTGCAACAAAACACAGAAAACACACCTAACAGCAAGTGGTAAAAACAAAATCCTCCGTCAGTTACAACATATAACCTGAGCCCCTACACAAATGAAGTGTCCCGGAATATGTTAGCATATTACACAATACATTTAGGCAAAAAAATTAACTTATAAACAGCTTAACAGTGCTAAAACAGAGAAATTACAACAAGTGCAATGTCTCTTACCTCTCCCATGAAGTACAACAGCAAAAGGGGAGAAGTAAAGCAGGAGACACCATATGGGTGGGGTACCCCAAAAGGTGTCCTAGTCATATTTATAGGACTCTATGTACTAAAAACATATGGCTAAACCAACCAAAGCATGAACACTTGACCTTAAACAAAACTTTAGTGACCTCCCCTATTTAATTTACTAATTTAATTCAATTTAATTTAATTTAATTATGCTGTAACACATTCATCATATCAGAAAAATGCCAAAATCCTGAAGGCTTATGTACACTAAAGGTGTCTGCTGAGAGCTCTGGGAGCTGCTCCTGCCACCTTTTCTTTGATAGCCTGTGGCTGCTACAGCAAGCAGTTAGTGGGACATAATAGAGGATCTCAGAGTCACCTACTGTCACCTTTCATATCTTTAAATGTTTTTGCCTTTATATGCTTACATGCGAATGTGGATATTTTTAATTTATCTGGAATTTGTGTGGACTTCTAAGCAACCCACATGAGAAAGATCAGTCTTCCCTGTTTTGGCTCACATGATTTGCAAGAGAAATGATCCAAAGGCATGTACAGCACTGCTTTACATGTTTTCCACGTAACAGACACCAAGCACGGCCATGGCCCTATAAACAAATTTGCAGACAAAGGAGGCAGTCAACCAGTGAACTGCTAAATAATTGTAGAAATCCAACTGCTGTACTGTTCACATTGAGTGCAAGAGTATATTATGTGTATATTACAACAAGCCTTACTGTTGTATTAAGGTAAACACTGCAGATGAGTCAGCTGACATTTATGTCAATGGCAGAATTGCCTATGACTACAGATATATAATGAGATGGAGGTCACATTCTAAATATACACAGAGGTATTTCTTACTCTATTATATTCTTTTTATTCTGTTCTATCCTATTCTACCCTCTACTGCATGTACTGCAGTGTAAAACTTTAAACATACTGAATGTAAAGTGTGACATCAGAGGCACTGTTGGATTTGTCAACCAAAACTTAAAGGTGGCCTGCAGAGTTTATATTTGCATTCAGTGTTCTCGCCACTCACAAACACTAACTGTTTGTAATGTGTATCCTTGAGATCTAAGGAATGTGTTGCATGCATTTCTTTCCCCATGTAACATTTGGAAAACAGATTTTAAAATGTTTTTTTAAATCCTGCATTCATGTTTACAAGCTAGCTAGAGTGTTACCGCCACCTGTACGTAAGTGGGATAGCATACAGGCTGTTCTCATGCACTGTTCATACCTTTTCCTACAAAAAACAGTAATGCACCAAAGTTAGCACATATCCCACGTAACCATGAGCCAGCAGTTTGTATATAAATCACGTATATGGGAAGGCTGCAATCACATGACCAATGCGCTGATGGCAGTTGGGAAGGAAGCAGTCCTTTAAGGTGACAGATTGGGGTGGTGGATGGGTCACAAAACACAGGACTTTCCCCAGGAGACCAGTGTTGGGAATCATTTGAAACCAAGTGAGCTTTGAGTCATTTTAACATACGTCATCATACGGACTGCTGTATGAGGACACACTGTACTATAAAGGCAAGGCATCTTTTTTTGTATAGCACATTTCATACACTAGGTCAATTCAAAGTGCTTTACAGAGCAATAAAATGTAAAACATAATAAAGGATACAGATTTACCGTAAAAGAGTGAAGAGAAAAAATATAAAAGGTAAAATTATTTACTAAATGATTTGTAATAAAAAAGATTATCATAGAAAATAGCAAAAGTGCAGACAAGTGGTGCAAAGATAAAAATATTATTTTAAAAATAAGTTTAAAAATAAGTTTACAGTCATTACAGGGTGGAGTAGGCACTGCAAAAAAGGAATGATTTAAGCTTTGACTCAAGAGTACTCCGAGTCGCAGCTTGTCTAACATGATCTGGGAGGTTATTCCAGATTTGTGCTGCATGAAAACAAAACACTGCTTCACCATGTTTTGTTCTGACTCTTGGGACGGTCAGTAGGCCAGTCCCAGATATCCTCAGGGTCCTTGAAGGAACATATGTCACAAGCATGTCACAGATATATTTGGGCACTGAGTGATTTATACACAAGCAGCAAGGATTTAAAATCAATTCTAAAAATGCCAGGTAGCCAGTGTAAGGATTTTTAGAACTGGAGATATGTGGTCCTAGTTTTTGTCAGGACCCTAGCAGCAGCAATCCTGAATAAGCTGAAGTTGCCGAACAGCTTGCTATGAAAGTCCTACAAACAGACCATTGCAGTGATCTACTGGAAATAAAGGCGTGGGTGAGCCTTTCAAGGTCCTGCTTTGACATTACTCCTCTGACTCTAGCATGTTTTTTAAATGCTAGCGGGCAGACGACGTTACGGATTTAATGTGGCTGTGGAAATTTAAATCGGAATCCAGGATAACACCAAGGTTCATTGTGTGACTCTTAGTTATACAAGAGAGAGATTTCAAGGTGGGAGCTGACGCTCTGTTTTTCTTTCTGTGGCTCAAAGACAATTATGTTGTCTTACCTCTGTTGAGTTGGAGTAAATTTTAACTCATCCAAACACTGATTTGCTCAATACGTTATCACAGTAGCTCTACAGGTCCATAATCACCTGGTGAAAGTGATACTGTATGTATATTTGCGTGTCATCTGCATAATTATGGTGGACTACTTCATCATTTTGTATGATCTGGCCTAATGGAAGCATACAGAGATTAAACAAGAGGGGTCCCGAAATGGACCCCTGAGGAACCCCACATCTCACAGGCATCTGGTCTGATTTATGGTTACCAATAGAGACAAATTA